AAGAACTTTGCATTAACATAGTAGAGGAGAATGGAGGACAGGAGCATAAAATGACTTAGTAAAAGGGCTGGTTCAAGCAGCAAGAGGAAAAGGCTTAATTTGATTCATGGTTTAATAAAGAGATACCTAATTTGGATTACTTGGAATTACGCATTCAAATACGGACTTGATAAATAAAAAAATATGCATAAAATTTGTACATCGGTGAAAATGGTGCAGAAAAAATGCACATTAGAGAAAATGGAGTGGGGATAATGTTAGAGTGGGAAAAACAAGGCATTGAGATGCATATATTGTGACAGTGTGCATTGCATAGTGTAAATTCCTTTTTTTTACAACAGTGAACAAAACCAACTTAGTCCTGGAAGGGTAAGGTGTTGGAGAGAAGATAAATTTTCCAGGTTCATTCTCTTTATGTCATGGCTTCTTTGTCAAGATGTTTGTCATGTTTCTCAATCTCTACTTCTCTCATGCCATTATCACAAGCTTCTCTCTACTATCACAGTCAACTTCCACTATCACACAGTGAAAAAAGATTTAAAAAGATTACAGACCCTCCATGCCTCATCTTTCCCCACTTTTCTGTTTTGCCTGGATGTTCTTTTCCATGACTGAAAATGAACAGATATGGGTGAGGAACAACAGGAAATGAGAGCTGGACTCCAAACATTGAAGACTTCTCTGCTCTGGTGGACTTTGGCAGATGAGCAGTGATGAGCTCCTCCTTGCTCCAGGTGAAAATTTGCATTGTTTCTGCTCCTTTAGCTTCTTTCCATGGGGGAAAAATAGAAAAGAAAGGAGAGAGAAACTGAGCGAAGACGATGTCAGCCTTTTCCATGGCAGTGGCAGGGATTAAAAAAAAACAACAACAACCAACGACAGCAAAACACAAGCAGAGCAAATTCTATTCTGAAATCCACAGGATCAAAAACCATTACCTGAGTTGATGAAATAAAACTAAGTTGATGAAAGTGTTTGTTGATGAAATAAAACTAAGTAAGACCTCTGTATGATTGTGCCCCTGAAAATATGGAGCAATATATAAGAACAGAATAGTATTGGGAACGATGTGTGGAGATGGATAAGATATGTTCAGAGAAGTAGATACATGTAGTTATGGGTTTTTAAAATTGTTTGTATTCTAATGATTGACAGTAATATATTTTAATGTGGTAATAATATGAAGCAGAATCAAATTGGGTGTGTCTAGTCTAGTGAAAAGAAGGACTTGGGGTGATCACCTCCTCCTCTGCATCCTCCATACCTCTTCCTCCTCCTCCTCCCCTCCTCCTCCTCCTCCTCCTCTTCCTCCTTTACACCTTTTCTTCCTCCTCTACACCTCTTCCTCCTCCTCCTCCTCTTCCTCCCTTCCTCCTCCTCTATACCTCCTTCTCTCCTCCTCCTCCTCCTCCTCCTCCTCCTCCTCCTCCTCCTCCTCCTCCTCCATACCTCTTCATCCTCCTCTCCACCTCTTTCTCCTCCTCCTCTTTTTCACACCATCTCAACTCTGCTGAGAGAACTGGCTTTGTCAGTGTGGAAATTAGAGCTCCAGAGTTTCTAGCAAGCCCAGTGAGCACCAGCTTCAGAAGCCATCAGGTTGTATGAGGCAACAGAGAGAAAGAATAAATGAATAAATTACATAAAAATGACACTCTCCATGGCTCTTTGAGGCACACATGCTTGGTCTGCCAAACTTTTCAGCTCCACCATGGAGTGGCTTAGTCTTTGAGCGCCTGAAGGCTGAGCCGAATAAAGCATTAAATGAAAAGGAAGCTGCTTGAATGGAGAACTGAAAAGCACCATGGCTTGCATGCTCATCATAAATGCCTTTTGAAGATATTTCCCTCCAAACCCTTTCGGAGAAGAAGCATAGGAAGAATGATAAAAATGTCTGATTCTAACTGTCCACACACTTCTGGCCTCCCAGAGATTTTTCCACCGAAAACAGAGAGGCTGAATTAATGAAGTTCATGTCTTGAACATACTGCCCACACCTCCAATGAATTTGATGAAGTCTCACCTAATTTAATAGGAAACTGAAGCAGTAGTGCTATTCTACCGGTTCGGCCTGGTTCTGGCGTACCGGTTGTGCTGAAGATCAGTGGAGACCGAACCAGTTTGGAGGGTTCTGAGGAGCTGCTGTTGGGCCCACCCGCCTGCCCAGGCTCCCGTACTGATCTTCATCCTCTGCTTTTGAAGCGCAGCTGCTTTGCGCGGCACAGCAGATTGCCGGGCATCAGCTGCTGAAGCGACAGGGAGAATGCAGGATTGCAGGAGACGAGTAGGAAAGCCTCTGGGTGTGTGCAAAGTGCGTATTTGGCACATGCACATGTGCAAAGTGCACCTACCAAGCCATGCCCACCAAACTGGTGGTAACCTACTTTGCAACCCACCACTGAACTGAAGGGGCAACAAGAAGTGATAGGTATCCAAATCCAGCCATGGATTTAATAACCCTCGATCGAAAGACTTCAGGAGTTCAATTGGTATGAATTTTCATTAGGAGTGATGGCTTGAAGTGTCTTTGCACAGATTTGTCTGTTGCGCCAACTGCGCTCCTTTCTGAACCATGGGGCCTTGGGGTCATGGTTACCCTTGATTTGTCACTTCCCATTTGGATTATTGCAAACTCCACTAGATTGCCTTGAAAATGACTTGGGACTTACAATTGATCCAGAATGCAGAAATGCATTCTTCTTTTCAAACGTCCCGCTGCTGCTGCGTTCAAGGCGAGGCCCCGCAGGCTCACCCCATTAAGCCCCTTGCAACGGAGCATGCAGCAGTCAATGGGGTGAACCTGAGAGAGGGAAAGAGAGAGAGAGAGAAAGAAAAGAAAGAAAAAAATGGGACAGACAAAGAAAGGGGGTGGTGGAAGGAAGGGACAGAAAGAAAAAGAAATAAAGAAGGAGGGAGGGAGGGAGGAGAAATATAATGAGATAATCTATTCTAGTCCAATCACCTGCTCCAGCAGGGTTAGAAGAGTGTGTGTGTGTGTGTGTGTGTGTGTGTGTTCTCGTAATTTACCAATACATTTTGGTTTTGCCTTCTTCAGAATTGGTACGGTAATACATTGGGGAAAAGTAATTTTTTAGGGTGGAGGTCTGGTCCAATGGATCTTGTTTAAGCCTCAACATAATGTGAGAGCTTCCTGATAGTCTTGGCCATGTTTCGTCCACAAATTAATTAATTAATAGAAGCCAAAGATGTTTCAATGTGCTGGCAAAGATGCTGGCAATGATGTTTCAATGTGGGAAAGGGCCTCTAAACTAGACCTCATTTCAATCTGATGCATCAGGTCTCTCTGTCTCTCTCTCTCTTTCTCTCTCTCTCCCCCCCCCCCCCCCGCGCTCCATCCCCCACTCTTTGTCCCTTTTTCTTTCTTTCTCTTTTCCCTTTTCTTCCTTCTCTCTTTTCTCTCTCTCTCTTTCATTCTCTCAGGCTCACCCCATTGATTTGGTGCACCGCTCCACTCGGACATAAAACAAATGAACAAGAATCAGTAAAGCATCTCTGATTAGATTCTATACACTGCTAGAATCTAATCAGAGATGCTTTACCAATTCTTGTCCAATGACCTGCTCCAGCAGGGTTAGAAGGGAGTGTGTGTGTATGTGTGTGCATGGCTGTCAAAACTCCAAAACAGGTCAAGTAGTTCTGGGGAGGTCAGTCATAAATATTAGGACACTTGCCAAGCAACCGGCCATTAAGCAAGGACCACTTGTATTTGGTTTAAAAAAGCAGGTTTCTACTAACCACCACCCCCTGCTACTGTAACTCTTTTCAAACCAGATGTGAACACACACATATTGTAAATATTTTGATTTTCAGAGCAGAAATGGCAGAAGCAGAAAAATCAAAGAAGAAATGTAGACAATATAGTGTGGAGTATCTGAAGTATGGATTTATACCAGCATCATCAAACCAGCAGCTGCCACAGTGCCTAATATGTGGGAAAGTATTTTCTAATGAGGCAATGAAGCCTTCTAGACTGAACGAACATTTGAAGAAGGCACATCCTGACAAGGCAGACAAGAATCTGACTTTTTTTCAATCACTTCGTGACAAATTTCAAAAGCGCCCAACACTGTCTCATATGTTTTCTAATGCTTCCCAACCAAACACTGATGGTTTGTGTGCATCATACAACATTTCATTGCTGATTGCTAAGTCTGGAAAGCCACATACTATTGGTGAAGAACTCATCCTACCAGCCATTAGTGAGGTTCTGAGTACTGTTTTGCATAAGTCACCACATGATATAATTAAGACAATTCCTCTCAGCAACAATTCAGTTCAAAGATGCATAGATGAAATGGCTGAGAATGTAGAAGATATATTGTGCAGCATACTACGGACAACAGACTTTGCATTACAGCTGGATGAATCAACTTTGCCAGGCAATGAATCTTTGCTTCTTGCTTATGTGCGCTTTATTAAAGACAAAAGTTTGACTCAAGAGTTGTTCTTTGCAAAGCAACTAAATACAGATACTAAAGGGGAGTCAATATTTCATGTTGTTGAGCAGTTCTTCAAAGACAAGGAAATTCCACTAACCAACATACTTGCTTGTGCAACTGATGGAGCACCATCAATGACTGGTCGTTACTGTGGGTATGTTGCTTACTTGAAAAAAGCAGTGCCAAATGTCTTTACCATTCACTGTGTCATTCATCGCCAACATCTGGTTGCAAAAAACCTCAGTGATCGCTTGAACAAGTCATTACACACTGTCATTACTGCAGTGAACAAAATTAAAGTACATGCTCTCAATGATCGACTATTCCGAGAGCTCTGTGTTGAGAATGATGAAGATTTTGATCGTTTGCTGCTTCATACAGAAGTTCATTGGCTATTAAAAGGCAACTGTTTGAGACGCTTTTACAATCACCCAAAATAAAATCAAAATTTCTTCCCCTCCATTCACATCGACATCATGTGGTCCAGTCAGGTTACTGTCCCAACTTCAGTTAACTTCCAGTCCTGCCTTCCCATGTGCTGGTGAGATGTGCTTGACTCCCAAGGGAAAGAATGTTGTTATGATTTCACATCCCACACTATCTTCACCTCCCCCTTCCTGTTCCCTTCCTGCTCAGCCACTGCTGGGGCAATCCTGAAGGCTCTCTTTAAAGATGGCTCCAGGGATGACACCTGTTGCATTAGCTGCACTGGCTCCTAGTTCCCTTCTGGTTTGAATAGAAGGTGCTGGTTATGACCTTGAAAACCACTATACATAACATGGGACAGGTTATCTGCAGGGATGCCTCTGCTGATCCCTACCAGACTGGATAAGGTGGGCATAGTGCTAGTCCCTTCCCTTAAAGGTAGTTGTTTTATGAGACCTAGGAAATGTGCCTTTTCTTTGGCAATCCTTGCCCTACGGAGCACCCTTTCTCTGAATTTCAGCAGGATTCAATCCACCCTTTTCACCTTCTGAAAAGCTCTCAAGACTTGGCTCCCCAATCCTCCCACCCAAACAAGTGTTGGAATGGGGTAAAATTGATGAGAGCACTTTGTGACGAACTGCATGTGAAAGTTTAACTACGGTACCAATTTTATTTATTTATTTTATTGTACGCAATGTTTTAACTATTGGTTGTGTGATGCCCAGTGTTTGGTACAAGATGGTTGGGCATATGAATATTTTAAATAAATAAAATGATAGTTGGCTATATAAATATTTGAAATAAATAAATAAAATTTATGTGATGTATTGGCAGTAGCACCTTACAAGAAGAAATATAAGACCAAGACAATAGCAGTAGCACTTAGATTTATATACCTAAGTCCTTCACAGCCCTCTCTAAGCGGTTCACAGAGTCAGCCTATTGCCCCTCAAAATCTGGGTCCTTATTTAACTGATCTTGGAAGGATGGAATGCTGAGTCAACCCTGAGCTGGTGAGACTCAAACTGCCGAACTGCAGCCTGTAGCCAGCAGAAGTAGCCTGCAGTAATGGTATTCTAACCACTGCGCCACCACGGCTCATTGAACCCATGACAACCAAGACCCAAAGTAGTTTTAATTTAATTTACTTTTGACTTAAGTATACTTAAAAACAGGTCACAGAAATGACATAGAGTAATATTTGTTCCCTGCATACAATTATCATTTTCTGGCAATGGACAGAGGGACTTTCATTGATGGCAGTAGCTTGCTGACCTCTTGAAAAAGATAGGTAGGCTTAGACCTTGGATAGGGTACCATCAACCTGTTGACTAGATTAGAAAATTTAAAGAAAATCTGGGAAGAAGGCAATGGCAAGACACTTCCGTGTTGTCACCAAGAAGTCAAGATGATAAAGATACTTAAACAGGGATAAGATTTTACTTTAACAAAAGTTACAGGCTGATAGCTTTACTGAATAATAGCTGCAAGTTGTTCACAACACTTCTAGCTGATCATTTTGTAAGGATTTGTTCATGAGGATCAATGTGGCTTTTTTTTACCTAAAAGACTGTTAAAGGACGCTGTTAAAAATGTGTTGGACATTTTGGAATAGTTGACGCACCATAATGAAAAACAAGATTTTCTTAGATGTAGAAAAGACCTAAAACAATTTGTCCTGGGCTTTCTTGTTCAAGGTTTTGGAAGATAAGAATTTTGGAGAGAACTTTGTGTAAGATTGTGTAAGATTGATTTACACTTCACAGAAAGCACACACGATGGTTAAGGGAGATCTAATAAAACCCCAAGAGATACAGAAAATAATAAGATCTGATGCCTTCTGTCTCCTCTCTTGCTTATTTTGATTCTTGAAATACTGAATAGAGACATGAGAGGAGAGGAGAGGACTGGGGGTGTAAAGATTAAAAAGGACACTTGTACATTCATGGTTTTTGCTGATGACTTGGTGCTGGTTCTGGAAGATCCTTTAAAGGGATTTGAAAGATTAATGGGCAAATTAAAAGAATTTGGTGTGTTAGTAGGTTTCAAGATTAATAACAGATAACAGATAATCAGAGTTGGAAGGGACCTTGTAGATTCTAGTCCAAGTGGGAGACAAATGGCAGTCCAATCTCTTCTTGAATGTCTCAAGCGATGAAGCTCCCACAACTTCTGAGGGCAAGCTGTTCCATTGGTTGATTGTTCTCACTGTCAGAAAGTTTCTCCTTATTTCCAGGTTAAATCTCTCCTTGTTTAGTTTCCATCCATTATTCCTTGTCTACAGGTGTTTTAGAAAATAGCTTGACCCCTTCCTCCCTGTGGCAGCCCCTCAAATATTGGAAGACCGCTATCATGTCTCCCCTGGTCCTTCTCTTTACTAGACTAGCCATGCCCAGTTCCTGCAACCGTTCATTGTATGTTTTAGCCTCCAGTCCCCTCATCATCCTGGTTGCTCTTCTCTGTATTTTTTTCTAGAGTCTCAACATCTTTTTTATAATGTGGTGACCAAAACTGGATGCAGTACTCTAGGTGTGGTCTTACTAAGGCTTTATAGAGTGGTATTAGTACTTCTCTTGATCTTGACTGTATCTCTCTGTTAATGCAACTTAGGATTGCATTAGCATTTTTGGCTGCTGCTGCACACTGCTGGCTCATATTTAGCTGGTTGTCCACTAAGACTCCAAGATCCCTCTCACAGTTACTGCTATTGAGCCTGGTTTCACCCAGTCTATATGTGTACTTTGGGTTTTTCTTGCCTAAGTGTAGGACTTTACTTTTCTCTACATTAAATTTCATTTCGTTAGATACAGCCCAGTGTTCTAGTCTGTCAAGATCCATCTGGATCTTGAGCCTATCTTCTTGGGTGTTAGGTATTCCTGCCAGCTTAGTATCATCTGCAAATTTGGTAAATTCCCCTTCTATTCCCTCATCTAAGTCGTTAATGAAGATATTAAAGAGTACTGGGCCCTTGTGGCACCCCAGTGCTTACTTCCCTTCATGTAGACTTAGACCCGTTAAGGACTACTTGTTGAGTACAGTTTGCCAGCCAGTTGCAAGTCCATCTAGTGGTGGTGCTATCTATTCCACTTTTTTCTAGCTTACTAAGAAGTAGGTTGTGGTCCACTTTGTCGAATGCCTTGCTGAAATCTAAATATATTATGTCCACAGTATTTTGCTGGTCTACTAATTTAGTCACTGTGTTGAAGAATGAAATAAGATTGGTTTGGCATGATCTGATTTTAACAAACCCGTGCTGACTGCTAGTTATTACTTTACTTGTTTCTAGATGTTGGCAGATCTGTTTCTTTATTATCTTTTCCAGTATCTTCCCTGGTATTGATGTTAGGCTGATTGGTCTATAGTTTCCTGGGTCTGTTTTTCCCCCTTTTTTTTTGAAGATGAGAACCACATCAGCTCTTTTCCAGTCCTCTGGTAGTTCCCTGGTGCTCCAGGATTTTTGAAAGATATGTTGCTGTGGTTCTGAGATGACCTCTGCCAGCTCCTAGTAAGCAGAAGACAAAGATGCTGACAAAATACATGAAAATAGAAGATCCAACAGCCTTGATAAAGAATAAAATACTTTAAGAGATTTAAAGTAAAATATCTAGGTATCACTATGAAAAATATGAACTACACATTATTTTAAAATAACAATATTAAGACATGGAATGAAGTTTTTAAAAAAAGACTTGTAAAGATGGGAGAAACTACAACTGTCATTGCTGGGGAAAATTTCCAATATAAAAATGAATGTCTAGCCTCGAATGATATTTTTGTTTCAGACAATACTGTTTTTGACAACTGATATACTATATAAACGTTGGCAGAAGGATATATCTAAATTTGTGTGGCAGGGGAAAACAACAAGTTAAATATAAGGTGTTACAAAAAGAAAGAAAGTTTACCTGATTTGAAACTGAGTTATGCAGCATATTGTTTAGTTTGGATGAATAGTGTGTGATTCTGACAAATAGAAGGTTTTTGGAGCTAGGAGGACAAAACCTAAGGTTTGGGTGGCATGGATATGAGATATGAGAAAGTTACGGTTAATATGGATTTTTAAAATGATTATGTTAGATGTTCCATATTGGAAATATGGAATAGAAACAAACCAGGTTGTGCTTGAAAGTATTTTTGTGGCACATGTTATAGATGAGAAATAATAGACAAACACAAATGGTTAACTTATCCTGAAATACTAGAATTTTGTTAAGAGTAATGCCAAATAAAATCAAGAGAAGAATTGATGGCAGAAGCATAGAGTTGTCAATGGTTCTCTTATTTACAATTACTAGAAAGATTTAAACTAGACAAAAGAATTAATAGTTTTGGCCATAGTAAGATTAAGTTTGATACAGAACTGTATGCAAATAATAAATATATAATTGCTAAAATGTATCAACTTTTATTGAAATTCGAAGAACGAAATGGAAAAAAATATGGTAAAAATGAGCTAATTTTTTTGGTTACAATGTACAAATGGAACAATGGAAACATATGTGATTGAAAGGAATTGAACTTTACATCATATTATAATCTTAAAGGAATTTTTTATAAAATTATGTATTGTTGGCAGAAGATACCAGAACAATGATTTAAAATTTAAAAAAGCATTTCAAATTTATGTTGAAAGTATTAAAAAACAAAAAGGGGCATTTGGTGCTTATGGAAAAAAAACTAGAAATTCAAATACACAAACTGATTCAGGGAGTTCTAAAGATTAATATAAAATTGAGACCAGAGGTTTTTCTTTAGGAGTTGCTGGACAAAAAGTTGGGAAAAATATCTTGGAACTTTGTTTTTGTACATGAAAATTATAGCAAGATTATTGTATACACAAAGATGGAAAAATCTAGCTTTACCCACAATGGAGGAATGGTTGATAAAAATGATGGAACTTGGTGATGATTCAATTGGCTTCGATTAGCAAAAAGATAATAGGCTTATTGATGATTGGAAACTCCTTATGTATTTTTTTTTTTTTGCATAAAACAGCAGGATACTTCACTATTGA